GACCGATGCTCCAGAAAACTGCCCCAGATTCACTGATGGCTCATCTGAACAGTTTCAGTTTTCTACCCTCCAAGTCTAATCAGTGTCATGATAATCTTTCTTTAATCTGACTCAATCTACTTCCTGTTAGTCTGAAGGTGCTCGGCTGCAGAGGGAGATGAAGTCCTACATGTCTGCCATCAAAGGTAGCTCATCACTTCTCTTTCTGTCCTCGCTGTAGATCAAAGATTACATTCAACATCATCTGCTGTGTTTGAAGGATCTCAGGTTTTCTGAAACAGTTTTTCTTGTAGGGATGCAGCAGGCGTCCATCAACCTGACGCAGTCTCTGCATGAAGTCTACGAACCGGACTGGCACGGCAAAGATGACATTGTGACCATTGGGAAGGTTGGTCAGATGGATGAATGTTTTTTTATCTCTACCAGCCTCTTCACTCCGGTTCTCATCTGCAGACTTTCCTCTTGCTTAATCGGTTAAATCTTAACTGATTAAGTGGTCGATCATGACATTTAAACCCGAGTCTATCACTGCTAAGTTTATCATTCATCTGTTTTATGATTCACCATCGAGTTAACTGATTACTGATTAAGCAAAAACATAACTGCAACAAGTTAGTTTATTTTTCCAGTAAATGCAGTGACTTGTCCTTTACTAGGACCTGAAGCTAAGCTGAGCATTTTTAAAACTGACTGACTGTTTCACCACTTTGAAAAGCTTTTCTCATCCCGACTACATCTTTATCCATCTCCGTTTTCTGCACTGAGGACGTTTTCTTTTGTGCCTCAGCATCTTTAGCTTCCTGTCACCCTAAGAAAAAATCAAGAAGGGTAACAGCGCCCCCTCTGGCGTTTTCGCCCTCTTCCATATATGCCCCGTGCTGCGTTGCATTGCTGCGTTCAGTGACGTGCGGTGAGGTTTGTAGCTGGTGAGGCTCTGACTTATCATATTTACAAATATAGACCCCCTGCATGTTATTGTTTATAAGTAAATTTCGCGCATGCAGATAATGCTGGGGGGTAAAGAGACGATTCTTCTATGTCATGCATAGCCGCGCTGCCACGTAGAATAACTCCGTTAACTCAATCAAACTTGGACATGTAGATATTATTAATTTAGTGCTGTGCTCCACAGCAAAGGGAAAAATCGTTAAAGAACAACTCAAAACCACGTCTCTCTCGCTTTATGTATCTACGTGCAGACTCGTTACCATAGCAACTGACATCGACACAAAAAAGAAAACACTAAAATATTTCCCACACAAAGAGCAGAACATTCAGTTTGCTGCAGTGGTTTGGTTTTAGGCTTAATGTTTATTTTGCGATTATTAATAAGTGACTGCTGTGGTAAGAGAAGAAAACTATAAATATATTGCTGCACTTTACTGTATGGCTAGCTCCATGGCTAGCTCGCTGTCTCTTACTCTGCAGTTGTGCAGTCACAATATCTGGGATCATGAGCGCCCCCAGCCATGAGGCAAGAGAACTGCCTGCCTCACCTCGAGTCTGTTTTCTGCTGTTTCTGATCGCTCCTCCACACACACAACACGATACACACAGTTGGTGACAATAAAAACACTGTGCATTATATACATAAGCTAAATTATGGGAAATCAGTTCATATATTAAATGTTTTTTAGCCATTTCATTGGCGACATACAGGCAGGAGGAGCATGGTGCAGAATGGCAACTGGTGCAGTTACAGAGGTTGATCAATCCAGGTGAGGCTCAGCTTCCTGCTGCCTCAACAGCTTCGCTTCAGAGCATTTGAATGGGAAAATGCGAAAATCCAGCGATTTTGAAGAAAAAATAATCAGAATTGGTTAAGCTAAGTAAGAAATAGATACTTTATGGTACAAACCACATGGTGAAAATAGCAATATAAATGATTTTTATCATTGTATATTATTTTTCCATGATGACATGGCACTGGCGGCGTTGCTGCGTTGCGTTGCTGCGTTTCGTTGCTGCGTTTCGTTGCTGCGTTTCGTTGCTGCGTTGCGTTGCTGCGTTGCGTTGCTGCGTTTCGTTGCTGCATTGCGTTGCGTTGCTGCGTTGCGTTGCTGCGTTTCGTTGCTGCGTTGCGTTGCTGCGTTGCATATCCGGCCGTGTGTCTCTGGTGAATCCAGTTGCCGCTGCAGATGAAATACCTCAACCTCAAACCTAGGAGATTATCGGCACTGATGTTTCTCCATGTTGACCTGAACTTTGTTCATGTGTTGGTGTGAGGTCCAGACGGCTCCGCACAATGCGGGGTTAAAGGTCATTCGGGGTTCACACCACTTCCTCTTTTCAGAGGTTACCTGGCAGAAGCCAGTTGAACTCGTTGAAACCAACTGATTTGTGTGCTGCAGGATTGTGACGCCCTGTGGGAAGATTTCCACAACAAACTGGTGGACTCAACTCTGCTAAACCTGGACGGATACCTGCAGCAGTTCCCCGACCTGAAGGTAAGAGCTGCTGCTCAGGATTGAAGGAGAAGTCGAGAGGAAAGTGATGGCTGATGCTTTCAGATGCGTGTTGCCAAAAGAAGTCGGAAACTCATCGATTACGACAGCGCTCGGCATCAGCTGGAGTCTTTGCAGGTGGCTGGGATGAAGAACGACAGGAAGGTTATGAAGGTGAGTGTGAACTGAAGGCGGAGGATGGGTTGGGGAATCATCCGTTCTCCATGCTAAGTTCGTGATGTATGAGGTTGAAAAAGAGTCAGTGAGCTGAATTCATGATTTCCATTTATTAATACCAAAATACTCCTGGTCCATTATGACCTGTTACCTTTAAGAGCCAACAGTCAAAATGGCCGCCCAGAACAGTTTCCCATTCCCTTTGTCTCTGTGAGCTACGCCCCAAAGAGGGCGTTACCTAGTGTGTCAGTATCTTTAGCTTTACCTTAGCTTTAGCTTAGCAACTAGCTAACAGAGATGGAAGGAAAACACAGAATTATTTATTCTCAACAAGATGAAGGTGCTTAACTGTGTTTGCTGAACTTTGCAGGCAGAAGATGAGCTTAAAAAGGCTCAGAAAGTTTTCGATGAGCTGAACGTCGGCCTTCAGGATGAGCTGCCGACTCTCTGGGATCGGTAAGTCAGGCAGTCACCCGCCTGCCCGTCGGAGCGCTGCATGATGGTTGGCTCAGCGCTGAGGCCGTTCTGCTCGCCTCTAAACTCGGTTTGATGATCTGCATCTGATGATCCTCCAAGTCTGTGAAGGTCTTCTTACCATCACCCTAATCTTTAAAGCTCTCCACTGTTTCTGGACTCCAGAACTTTGATGCTATTTCCTGTCAGAAGAAGCATGCCGGTCAAAGTAAAACATTCATTTAACCCTTTATGACCTAAATAATAATAATAATAATAGTTATTATTTTAATTGTTCACAGTTCTTTAAATGTTCTGTGAGTAAATATATATTTGCCTGCTCATCCATAATTGGAACTTTCAATATCTAGCAAGTTATTTTCACAATTTACCATCTATTAGGATTGTGCCTCAGATTGATTTCACTCCCTCCTACAGCGAGGGAGAAATTACCCTAATAACCTGATATTGACTGTAAACGCAACGTCTCCGTTCAAAAACTGTTGGAATTTTTCAGACAGCGCAAAGTGTGGCCAAAGCATGTAAACAACCGGAGAACAACTTAACAACTCTTTAGTGCGGCAGGCAGGGAGCTGGTGGATGCTGGGTAATGATCAGCTTGTGAACATGGTTAGCGCGCTGCTGCGCATGTTCACCTGCCAGGTGTGAATAAAACCCAGAAGGCTGAGGAGACGAACCGATCGCCAACCAGCCAGGATTTGAACCCAGAACCTTGTTGCTGCAGCAAAATGATCCAGTTTGGTGAAAGCTGAATGTTCCCTTCACACAGATTTTAAAAAGGTCTGAAACTGATGAAAATTAGTCTTATGGTTATGAATGCATGCAGGGCTTCATTAGGAACATTTATTTTCTAATGTCAGGTTCTCACACAGTAACACGATGTTCCTGGAAGCTCAATTAAGATCTCAAAGTGAAGCTTTATTCTGTGGTTGGTTCTGGTCCAGAGCAACATACGGTCAGGATTTCATTCACGCTCAGCTATTTCTCCATCCAACCAACCAAAATAATCTACTGCTGGCAGGAACGATCCTGATTAACCTGCAGCAGCCACAGCTGAACAAAATGCACCCACAGGAGTTTTTACTTTTTTTTAATTGTTTAAATATTCGGTAACACTTTATTTGAAGGGGGTTGAATAAGACTTTCATGACACTGTGATGATACAAAGTTAACATTATTCAAAATGTCTTTGTTATGACAACTTGACATTAACCAAGAAATCATTACTGATATAAATTTGTTATAAAAGTATTACTGATTGCACTTTAAAAATGAGGTAACTTTATGTTATTAAAGGTAAAGTTTAAACAGTAATGATTTCTTGGTTAATGTCAAGTTGTCATAGACATTTTGAATAATGTCAACTTTGTATTAAAAGTGTCATAATTTACAGAATGACGCTTTATGACAACAGTCATAAATATTCATGAAGGCTTATTGATGTTCATGACAGGTGTTATGTCATGTTTATTACAGTGTCATGACAGTCTTATTCACCCCCCTTTAAATAAAGTATTACCAAATATTTTGCCAGTTTTTGCTGCAGGAACATTCCCTCTGATGATTTATGTTGTGATCTCAGGAACCTGACCTGGGTTTCTGCAGCGTCTCTGCATGATGAATAAAGTCAAAAAGCGCCCTCTTCAGTCTGACTGGCTCAGTTTATGTTAACTGTTAATTTTCTTTCTCCAGCCGAGTTGGTTTCTACATCAGCACCTTCAAGTGTGTCACCAGTCTGGAGGCCAAGTTTCACCGAGAAATCTCACTGGTGAGTTGATCTGTTCCTCGGAAGCGTCCAGCAGATGTTCAGAGCTCAGGTGGTTCTTCTGCTTCCAGGTGTGCAGGGAGCTGTATGAAGTCATGACCAAGCTAGGAGAGCAACACTCTGATAAGATCTTCACCATCCAAGGAGCTCCAAGGTGAGTTCATTCAGCTGATTGTTTGCAGCTTTACTTTTTAGAAACATGTTCAAACCTCAGAGGCTGGAATCAGATCAAATGTTGATGTGAAAACAGAAACGCCACGTCTTTACTGACTGGACTGGAAATGTCTTCAAGGCCTCTGTTTAATTCAGAGCTGCAGCCGTTCAATCCCTTTGATTATCACCCCCATTTCAGACCTGATTAATGGATCCTCAGCAGACGGATTAATCCCCCTTTTCTTCTTTTCCTCAGTGATTCTGGACCGCTGCGCCTCGCCAGAACCCCATCACCACCGGAAGACGAGACTCCCCCAGAGAGCCCAGATGCCAGCTCCAATCACATGCTCCGCCCAGTTTCACCTGGTCCGCCCCGGCCGAAATCCCCAATTCAGGTAATAGGAGTCCAGGTGAGTGCAGCCGGATTCAGTCAGACACAAAGAAAAGTCCGTAGTGAAAGTAGCACTAAGATAAAGTGAAGCGACAAGCATGGAATAACATTTAAGAGGATGTCCAGCCTCTTCTGTTACTTTCAAACAAAAATAATATTCAAAATACGGCAAAAAATGGAAAAAAATATTGGGACAACCTGATCTTTGGAATCACTTTTGGGATGTGAATCCATGGTGGTTACCATGGTGATATGGGGGATAACCATGGTGATACCTGCAGCAGTGTGACTGGAGGCCTCCAGGTCTTTATGGAGCGTCTGGGATAAACGCCAAACTCAAACACAAGCCAGTTCAGAAAGGCCCGCTGAGGCCAAAGGGCAAACCTCTGATCTCATTGACTAACTCGTACACCACACCCCAATGTGTAGATTGGAAAAGAAACCTGGGGCTGAGTGCCCAAACTGCAAAGGGATTTGATCCAGTGAGCCCAGTTGTTTGAACTGGTTTTCAATCTATGAAGATCAGGGGTGAAAGTAGTCGGGTACGGTCAGGTACTGCGTACCCCTGCAGTACCTGCAAGAGACGGGAGCGGCTGTCTGCTGTAAAAAACTAATGGGTGCATGTTGTTGCGCAACACCCCACCCCTCCCCCTTTTCTTCTCTCTACTTCCCCTTCTAAGAGGAGGGAGATGTTGCTACCAGCTCTCCATCTAACGGGTGAATTGAGTTTCCTAAATCTGCTGGGATTTACCCTGTCCAGAACTGAAGTAAACTCTGTTTAAGCTGGCGTCGAGAAAGACTAGCCTGGTTTCTGACTCCCTCCATCCAGATGTCCCACCTTCTTCCCCCTGTGAATTAGCCAGACTGAGCAGCCTGCAGTCAACTGGTTCCACAGAGCACACCTGTTACCGGTCGCTCCTTCTCTTTGTTGCACTTGTTACTGAACCAGGTTGGTTTTAGTGACTCGGGCCAAGGAGTCCCAAGGATGTTTTTTACATATAGCTTTGGGCTAAAAGCAACCCATCAAACATTTTCCACTTTTTCCTCCCAGAATCAAACTTCATAGCTGTTTTATGACCTTCCAAGAACTTTAAGGTGACTCATTAATTGAATGTCCACAACATCTTTTACATTTTCTTAATGCTAATTATTTTATTAGGAAGGTAATTTTGCAAGGGTCAGTACAGCTTAAATCAGTGGCAGAAATAATCAAATAAGTAAAATCAATAATCTAGCCTATCTTTCCCTAATGCTGACACTGTGAACTAAAAAAGGGAACCTTTGAGAGAGACGGATGGAGTTTGGCATCTTGAACCCCAGAACTGGTCTGATGAAGGTGTTGCAACAGCAGGAGGCTCCTAGTGCTGGTCGATGAAGGCAGGGATCTCTGCAGGTCTGATGACCTTTCGTCTCTGCTTCGATGGTGAAGTCACACAGGACTTGGGTGCTGGCAGGAAGAGCACTGACTTAGAGCAGCAGGTCTCGGGTCTTAGGGTGACTTCCTCTTGTGTGTAGCGGTCCTCAGCTTCTTGTCTTGCGGCTCTGAAGCTCCCTTCTCCTTGTCGCACGAACTTTCTGGTCTGTTGAGATGTAGATGAGCTGAGGGAAGGGACCAGTTCTTCCTCTTGGCCTTTGGTCTTTTGCTTTGGTCTATGGGGTCCCGAACCCAGCTGGTGAGAGAAGTGCAATTTGAAGCCACATGCTGCGGGGCTAACGGGTTGGTCCCCATGCGCAGGACAGTCTTCGGCTCCGTGGCCCCGGCTCTTCTTCAGCTGCAGAGTTCTTTGTCCATCTCGATCTTGGCTCGAAGCTGCCTGGAGGAGCCAACCAAAGATTCCTCTTTTGCACTCACCTTATAAAGGGTTTATCCACCCTTTTGGTGTGTTTGCATTGGCTAACTTTGTTGCTGTGCCTGTCTCATTGGCTGACTTCTCGGACCGATGATCTCATATCCATCACCATCTTGGAGACATTATGACCTGATGTCTGTTCTAATGACCCCGAGTTGCTCAACAGTCCACCGACGTCTGCTGCCTGACCAACCTTTTCTTAGGAAAGTCAAAGTTCAACAATAAGGCCTTGGTCACCTCTGCTCTCCCATCAGTTCCTCTTTTCCCCTGACCTTTCACCTACCATCTACCCCAACACAACATCAGTGATCTTTAATTACAGTTACACATTTTACACCATTTCCAGTTCAATGTCAAATCACATTTATAACCCTTTAGTTTCTGATTTAGCATTCATTTATAATATCATAACCATAACTTCTTAGTTACTCTTATTATAATCTTAGATGTTTTCTAAAAAGAAACCAGGAATAATCCATTATTCTAATTATTTGGTACCAAAGTTAGCTACTTGTTTTGCTTGTAAGCATTTCCACAAGAGTAAGTGTAAGTTAAACCAATATTAATTTAAGTATTTTACTTTAGGTCTTATCCAATTACTCAAAATGTTTAAATTTTATTCTTTAACCCTTTAATGCTTTGGAATAAGGAATAGTCTGAACTATGTTTAAACATATGCAGGCTGGAAACTTACTTCCTCTTCTCCCATGAAACCTGCTCCTCCTGTTTCATGACTCTCTTTATGCCCGACTTTAATTTCTTATGATTAGATAGAAAAAAGTAGAAGCAAAGTTTTCGGAACACAATAACAACCAGATTTATTTTATTACCGTCTGACTCTACTGTTTGGTCTTGATTTCACCTGTGTAATTAATTTTAAAGGTAACTTTATTTATTGTTACTATTAAACTAAAATCTCCAGCATGGGAAGTGGGATGATCTCGGCTTTTCTTGACAGGCCTGACCAATATTTGGTGTTAAAGCACTTAAGAGATTAGCATGAGTCCCACCATCAATGAGCAAGGATGAAAAGAGATGCAGAGTCTTGACCATGCCCCTTACCTTCTAAGGACTGCCCACACTTTACCCAGGGAAGCATGTTCACTTTCTGATGGGGAAACATGGATGGTCTGTACAGTATATTCCAGGTGGACAGAAGGGCTTCACCTACAGATTCATTCTTCATGGAGCTTCATCAGAGCAATAACTAGTGTGAAGAACAGGACAGATGATCAGAGGAGCAGAGTTTTTACCTCCATCACTAAGACCGGGACTAAAGAACGGGTAGAGTTTCTCCTTGAAGCAGCAGTCAGTAAAGGAGTAGATCAGAGCTGCAGCATCTACATCATAGAAGGAGACCAGACCCTGATCATAATCCACAAACACCCCGACCTTCTGAGGACCAGGATGGAGAAAGAGCCAGACTGAAGGTCCAGCAGCAGCTTTGTAACAATTTTCATTTCTCAACCCAACAGTCCAGAAACCGTTCTGAGGACAAAGACTGATGTCTCCCTTCCTGTCTACAGACTCTCTGGCCACTCCTAAAGTCCAGTCAGTCTTTCCTTTAACCTGAACCTCAAAGTAAAATCTGCCTGAAGAGAAACTCTGTCGTCCTAAAACATTAGAAAACAGAGAAAATCTCTCTGGATTGTCTGGAAGTTTCTTCCTCACATCTCCATCTCTCACCTGTTTCCCATCATCAGACAGGATGAGATCAAGATGAGCCGTATCAGGATCCAGAGTCACATCCATTGCAAACTGCTGGACACTCTTGAGCTCAACCTCTAGGAGCTTCTTCATCTTTTTTTCCCTGATCGTCTCCTCCAGATGAACCACAGCTTTCACCACAGTCCCCTCATAGTATGGTGGATGAACTCTGACCTCTGTCCAGGTCTTGGTGGGTGGAGCAGCTTTCAGGGAGGAGCAGCTTTGGAGGAGGTGGAGGGGATCTTCATCCTGTGAGAGCTGCTTCACCTCAGAGCTCCTCTTCTTCAGCTCAGAGATCTCCTGCTCCAGATCTCTGATGAAGTCTTCAGCCTGTTTCTCTGTAGTTTCCTGTTTGTCTTGGATCTCCTTGAGGAGCTCCTTCAGGCCTCTCTCAGCAGACTCCATCAGAGCTGTGAAGACCTGAACACCTTCTGCTTTCTCTCTGTCTGCAGCATCTCTACTGATCTTCACCGACTCTCTGATCTCCTGGATCTTCAGTCGTCTCTCCTGGATCATCTCCTGAACTTCAGCCTCCGTCTTCCTCAGCTCTGCCTTCTTTCCTTCAGATTCTTCTCTCAGAGGAACAAACTCGTGGTTCTTGTGGTCAAAAACAGAGCAGACCAAGCAGACGCATGTCTGGTCGGTCCTACAGAACAGCTCCAGAGGTTTATCGTGCTGCAGACACATCCTGTCCTCCAGGTTCTCCACCGGCTCCATCAGCTGATGTTTCTTCAGACGTGGAGCGGTCAGGTGAGGCTCCAGGTGAGTCTGGCAGTAGGAGGTCAGACACACCAGGCAGGACTTCAGGGCCTTCAGTTTGGGTCCAGTGCAGACGTCACAGGGAACTTCTCCTGGTTTGGCAGCTTGTTGCTCTGAGCTGCTGCTGGCTTCCTGCTGAGCTTTAAGTCTGAACTGATCAACAATCTCTTTGATGAAGGTGTTGACTCTCAGCTCAGGTTTAGGGGTGAAAGGCTCATTACACAGAGGACACTTGGACAGAGCATCTCCGTCCCAGTGCTGAGTGATGCAGGTCTTGCAGAAGTTGTGTCCACATGGTGTGCTGACTGGATCAGTGAACACGTCCAGACAGATGGAGCACAGAAACTGATCCTCAGACCGCAGGCTGCTGCCAGAAGACATGTCTGAACTCTGAGGACAGGAGACACAGATCAATGATTAGCAGATTATCTGATCTGCAACAGGAACTAAAGTCCCTTAGAAGCTGGAATTAGAGGCCAGGCAGCAGAGTCTAACTGTGGACTTTCTCTTCATCTCCTCAGAGGCATTTACTGGGATTAATCTCAATGGGGGTGTCTTTCTATAAAATATACAGTAAACCTGGACGAGTCTTGAATAAAACTGACCTTTGAAATTTCCACAAGAGTATATTTTATTTTAGTTTGAATTAAATAGTAAAACTCATTTTTGGAACATTTTCATTTTGTTTTCATGTTGGTTGAAAGCAATCTTTGGAAGATAACTGATTAAAGTGAAATTGTTTCTAAAAGCAATCAGAGCATTTTTCCCAGTTTGATGCTTCTTGAAATGTTTTAGTTGATGTTGCTGATTCTGTACAGCTGCTATGGGTGGAAATCCCAGGTGGAGCCCCCAGTTTTGGAAAAGTGTAGGATTGTCGCCCCCCAAAGAAACCTTTGTATTTAAACATCAATATGAAAAGGCAAAAGAAACAAAGAATGAAATAAATCAGCCATTCATCAATGGGTTCCCTCCATTGTTAGAACAATGGTTCAGTTCGAAGTGCAGGAGGAGCAACAGCAGCTCAAGGTACCGGCTCCGTTAGACCTGATGAAGAGAGGAGCTAGCTGCTAGCTGCTAGCTGTTAGCTGCAGCTCTGCAGCACAAACAAACCCTCCAGGAAGTAAATACTTAAAGAAAACAAAAACAATAAAAATCAGACTGCAGTTCATTATTTTATTACTTTGGCTGAATCATGATAAACTGCCTGTTATGCCTTAAATCTAAACTAGCTAAACTGGCTAAACATTACTTTGATAGACTTAGCTTTGTTTTTTTTCAAAGGTAGCAAATTTTTCAATCATATTAATCTTTTTAACTCTTATGTTAAGAGTTTGAAACGGGAGGGAGTTTCTCATAAAAACGTGTTTTTATTTAGAGCCTTAAGTTTTTGTAAAGGTGTAGCAGAGATTAGATCTGTGACTCTGAACCCAACTCAGATCTAAACATTTCAATTTTAGTTTGACTTTTATGGGTCTCAACAGTTTCATTACGAAGGAAAACATGTTTGATGTGCATCATCACTCACTAGTCATTTTTGATCCTGCAGCTTGAACACATTAAAAACTTTTTAAGCCACATTTTCGTTACATTCCACCCAGAAGTCGCACTAGACGTTTTTGTTCTCCGTCATTTTGACCGACAGGATTTTAAAAAATCAGTCATGTTCTATTTTTACCCGTCAAATTAGAATCATATTATCAGCCATTTAGCCGCATTTTTATGCCGTTTAGTTAATATTCACCCAGTTGAATCGTGAATCCAGGTCCTACCACACATAAAGGAGATAAATGCATCTAACGTTTTCTCCATAGTGACAAAAACTATGGAGAAAGTTTTTATCACTGTGGCCCCAATAACTTATAATAAATTAAATTAAGCGACTCCACTTAAATTACATCACTTCACCTGCTGGGGTCTGAACGGACAGTTTCACTAATTCCTCCTGGTTGCATCTGCAGAGAAATCAAAATCTGATCCAAACCAATCCATTGAACTTTTTTTTTACCCTGTGCGGCACTTTTATGAGGATTTTTATTTATTTTTGCGTGGTTTCTCTTCCCCGAAACAGACAGATGTTACGTCTGCCGCGCTTCTGAGCGCCGCTCTCCTCCTGGGGACCGGATGGTAACGTCTTCAGCTCCATTTGTTAAAACCACAGGATGTTAAGTTCAATTCTTTGCATTGGTTGTGCAGCCGCAGCGCACTGCGCATGTTACTGTCTAATAACTTGTGCACCTTTATTGATGTCCTCAAGATAAACTGCCGGTGTAACACTTACGATGTGATTACAGGATAGAACTCAGAACAGGATCAGTGCTAGGTTCGGCTACGGGAGTAGGGAGAAATGTAAGTGTATTAATGACCACAGACCAGAAAATAAGTTTAAACTGCCGGCTTATTATTTTGTAGAAAAGAAAATAAACAACAATTATACAAACAGTTTACATACAATGACACAAATTCAATACAAAATAGTTTCCCGGTTTCTTTCAGAATAATTTATTTAATCCCTTTTTAGAAATTTAAACTTATTGTTAGGTATTAAAGGATACTATTTATTTAAACCTACATTATAGTTCTATTTAAATTCAAGTTGATACTGTTCATCTATTTAATTCAGTTTGTTTTTAATATTTTTAAATTATTTTAGTTATTTAGTGTTCTTTTTAAGAAGTAAAAGTTTTTTAATTCCTGTTTTAACCATTTCTTATTTGTAATTTAAACCCAACAAACAATTTCACATTCCACACACAGTAACAATGGATGTTGAATATGGTTTGAAAGAAAATAATAAAACACAACAGAAACAATCCAGCAAAAGACCGAATAACTTGTGCTTCAAATCGATCTTTTCTCTCTGATGATCCTGAAGGTTAATCCCGTTTCTCTGAATCTGCTGCTATTTCAGCAGGAAACATGGGCAGGTCATACCAGCTTGGATGACTTGCAGTGTCCAGCAGAGGGCGCAGCTCCTGCCAGACGGTTACAGGGCTCCTGGGTTACGGCTCGCCATCTTGTTTCTCACTAGCGGAATACAACTCGGCAATCGACTCGGAATTTCCCGGTCCGATTTCCAGCAGAACCTTAAAAAGGCCTGGTTAAATAACCAACAAAGCATAACAAAAGTTCATTTACCTCTGCTTGGTACTGAATAAAGTAGTATACTCGCCAAATTGGCTGTTGAAAATCGTGTGTGGGTGGGGGAACATGCTTCACCCACCTCAGCTCATGTTACTTCCACAGTTTTTGAACATAAAACAACATAAATGCGCTACTTTCGCTTTCTGTTTCAACAAGCTAAAATATCTTGCAAATACATTCTTCTCAGAAAATAAAATACATTTTTTAACTCACCAAGTCCAGTTCTGTAACATATAACACAATCCCGAACGCAGTCAGGTTGAAAAAATGCAGAAAGCTCCTTCTCCAAAAATGGAAAAATGTTTTTAGACAGCAGGTAGACTTTTAATCGTCGATTTCTCTTATCTTTCTCTCGTTCACAGCACAATAGAGCTTTGGAGCTGACGTCACAGCGTGTGACGTTTACGTCGCTCGGCGCCATGTTTGCAGCCCACAGACCAAAACAAACTAGTCAGAACACCGGTGTTTTCATTGTATTACCGACCGCAGCAAAGTTGTTTTGCAAATTGGTTACTGGATATTCGCCCTCCGCGGAGTAAGGGACGTTCAGCTCAAGGTTGATCCGATTTATGAACGCTAATTTCGGCCAGCTGTTCTCTACCGATGCCTCCTGAAGCGCTCGGAGGTGCAGACCGGCAATTTCCGAACACTCCTGTAAATAAATGCTTTGTCTTGTGACCAACTAATACAAAAACGTGGTAGTTCATGCTATTAAACGAGGCACACTATCCTCCATAGTCATACTTCATATTCAATATTTTAAATGATATTAAATGTTTTCTTCAATAGCTTCCAAATCGTGTCCCCCATTAACTCAAAATCTGTGAAATCGTTCTACTAGACTGTATAAATGAGGCACACTCATCTTTATTACATTTGCACACTTATATATATATATATATATATATATATATATATATATATATATATATATATATATCAGACACTCTCGCGCTATGTATAGTATCCCCCCCCCCTCTCGCA